GATATTCTAGTCTTTAGTCAAACTAAAGAAAAACATATAAAACATATTGAACTTATATTCAACGAATTTATAACACGAGGGCTCATTATAAGTAGTAAAAAGATGATATTAGAAAAACAAGACATTGAATTTTTAGGCTTATACATCAACGATGAAAAAGTAGAACTACAATCACATATTGTTAAGAAGATTTTAGAATTTCCAGATAAATTAGAAGAAACCAAATTACTACAAGCATTTTTAGGATTATTAAATTATGGTCACAATTTTATTCCTAAATTAGGATAATTAGTAGGACCATTGTATTCAAAATTAGGTAAACATGTCAAAAATATTTTAATACTCAAGACATAGAATTATTTAAGAAAATTAAATCTTTGGTCACTTAAGTAGAACCTTTGCAACTTCCACTTGAAAATAGTTATAAAATAATTCAAACAGATGCATCAGCTCAAGGATGGGCATGTTTACTTCTTCAAAGACCTACAAAAGAATCTTCTCGAGAAGAAGAACGAATTTGTCGCCATGCTAGCGGAACTTTTAATAAAACACAATCTAATTTACCCTCAACAGATCTAGAAATTCTAGGAGTAACCAACTCTATTGAAAAATTTCAGATATTCCTTGATAAAGAATTTCTTATAAGAACAGATTGTGATAACATAGTTAAATTTGCAAACAAAGTAAAGCAACAGCGGATGTTTGCAAAGAGATGGATTTCCTTTATTGATTGTATTACTGGAAGAGGTTTTAAACCCATATTTGAACATGTCAAAGGAAAAAATAATTATTTAGTAGATATTCTCTCTCGTTACTAATTGATTGTTAAATTTTGTATGAATGGAAACAAAGAGCAACAACAGCTATAGCCTTATACCAGACACTTCTAATCCTCTTTTAATTATTCAAAACCCAGCTCAATAGTTCTGCACTAGACATAATATTTTTCTGGACCAAAAACTTATTTTAGATGATATTTGATTTTCTAGAAACAACCCTGATAGAACCCTCGTCATAAATCTAAATACTTTAAGTGAATATTTTGTATCATCTAACAAAGCATATCAGAACCTACAGCAAGAACATGAGACGCTTATATCTCATTATAAAAAATTGAATTTAGCTTATCAAAAAATAACAGCAAGCCCCACAGAACTAACTATTTATGAGCAAAGGAGTGATGAAGATGAAAATCTTCAGAAAGTTCAATTTCTGCAAACAAACCAAGTATGCCAAGTTATTACCCCTTTTCTCTCAAACCTACAAAGAAATCCTGAGACAACAAGTTGAACCCTTTCCTGATGACCTCAAAGATCTTATCCTTAAAGAAGTCAAGTCTGATGGTCTCATGGAATGGGTTGATATCCAAAACTACCTCAGAAATAATAGTCCACCTAAAGGACCCCGTTATAACTATTTTTTCCTACGATTTATACAAACAGGCAACCTCATACCTATGGCCATTATCTTGTTTGACGTAGACATTGTTTTCTTCTATCCTTTTGAAATAACCGGAAAAATCCTTTTCTCTACAAGAACAACTATCTGTTATTTAAGCAAGCTGTTAGAATTAGGAATGATCTACAACATCACCATACCAAAAGATATGCCATTAGAATACCTAAATTCTTTAGGCAACTTTCCCAACCATTTAAATCAAGCCATTAACTTCGAGAAAAAATTAACCCAAAATTTCATGTCAGAAAGTCCAATTCTCTTTCAAATCCACAGTACTCCCCTAGAATGAGTAAAAGATGGAGGTATAATTTTGGGACATCATCGAATTTATATTCATTCTGATCCCACAGAAGTTAAAGTTCTTACCCAACATGTTGACACTACAACAAATTTGGGCTCTTGCCACGAATTTTTTTGCCACACGTAAAATTTTGTGGCAAAAAGTATCTTTTGGCCACAAAATTAACTTGTTGTGGCTAATATACGAGTGTTTGTCACGGAGTAAATTTTTTGTGGCAAATACTAGTTCTTGCCACTAATATTAGGGACGACCTAAAAATTTGTGGTAAAATGTCAATTTTGTCACGACGAATTAGGGACGACATACAAAGTTATGGCAAAATGCTATTTGTGCCACGAATTTTTATTCGTGGCAATTGTATGTTTCTTTTGCCACGTATATATTTTCGTGGCAAATCGCTTTATAATTTGCCTTGATGTTATTCTCGTGGCAAATATAATTTTTTGGCACAAAATTTTTTTCTCATGGCTAAAAGATGGATCCTGCCACGAATTATTAATTATGGCTATGATAAACTCTATTGCCACGTAACTATTTTTGTGCCAAATCTATTAGTTATTCGCAACGATGCTTTATTCGTGGCAAATAGTATCTTTTGCCACGAATTTTCAATCATTGTGGCGAAATGCCATATTTGTAACAAATTTGTTTTCGTGGCAATTAGGAACTATTTTGCCACGAATTTTCAATCCTTGTGGCGAAATGTCATTTTTGCAATGAATTTGTTTTCGTGGCAATTAGGATATCTTTGTTGATCGACTATTATTATTTACTTATTTATTTAGTTTTTGTAATTCCTTAAATAAGGGGCTAGAACACCGAATCCCTAAGTAAATTAATTAATTGTTAATAAAACTCCAAAATGGCATTTCCTTTAAATTTGATCATTTTTAAATACCACTCCTTATCATACAGAAAAGATTAAAAAATAAAACGTACTAAACATTCTTATATTTAATTTAAATTAATCATTATATATATATAAATCCATAATGCAATATTTTTAAGTAATTAAAAATTTAAGATACAATAAAAAATATAGATCATATATCAAATTTTGAATAAATTTACAACTACAAAATTTTACTTCTATTTAGTAAGGGTATAAATAAAATATTTAGTGATTTAGGAATTAAATGAAATAAAAGATCTTAAAAGTATGTTGGATTTTGTTGACACAAAGCCTTTAACCAAAGATAATCTAGTGGTTTTGATGATTACAAACCATTAATGGTGTTTGTGGATTAATGTTTAATTATATACATTGAGTATTATAAATGATTCATCTTCAAAAAATGACCTCAATAAAGAAATAAAGATCACATCAATGGAAAAGAATGGATACAAAGAGACATGAAGTTGTAAGGAACCAAATGCAAGTCCATCCAAAGATAACTTGGACTACAATTAATGAGCAAACAAGCAACTCAAAGAAATTGGAAGAAAGTAAGAATACCTTAAAACTTAAACAATCATTTATGGACAAAGCTTGAAGAAAGGGGTAGATAATATGGTGAGTGTTTATGATTCAATGTCAAAGTATTTATGAATCTATTTGAACCTCATCTCTATAGGACCATGCATATCATATCATCATTCACATGCATAGACACATGAAGTCATTGCTAAAAGAAAGAGTTACTTCAAGCTTGTATAAACTTTGAAAAAACTTAATACTTAAGCTAGAAATGCTAAGACCATGCACATCAATCATATGTTTTATTTTGGTCTCTAGAAAGTAGAGTCTAGGGCATTGAACTTACTTTTTCATCCACAAAGCCTTTGTTACCATGATTTGGTAAATGACTTTACGATTCGGGCATTTCACATGAAAAACTGTTTCGTAGTTTTTTGGCTGAATATGGAAAATATGATTTTTTGAAATAAAGATATTTTCAAAATAATTTTTTCCGGTAATTACTCTTTACACTTTAAATAGCCTAAATTGATTTTATGAGATTTTTTCATCATTTCTACATAGGTATACACGGAGGATCAAGTTTTACCAAAACTTCAGGGAATTCCAATTTGTAATAAAACTGAATTTTTACATTTTGATTTAGTGGGATTTTAATTTTCTTTTATTTTTTATTGAATCCAAATAAGGGGTACTTTCTTATTTACTTAAATGTTTTCAATGGAAATAAGGTATACAAAAGTAACAGCCCATGCTGTCTATCAAATGACTAAAACAGAAAATTTATTTATTTTTCATTTGACCGATCATATCATTCATACTATCAATAAGATGCTAATTAAAACCAATGAACTCGCATCTTTTGTGGTTTATCAATTGACCAACCAGTTCACCAATATGATCGATCAGATGTGTCCAAGTGGCCGATCAAATGGATGAAATTTTAGAAAGCGTGATGAAACAGGATCTGATCCTACCGATCACTTCCATAATCTAACCGATCAGATGCTCCATGAAAGAAAAAAAGAAAAAAGAAGAAGAAGTCTATTAGTATCAATTAATGTGTATAATACACACACACTTATTCATCAAGTACTAAATCAATAAATAATTAAACTTAATTAACAACTAATAATACTTCCCTAAATATAATTCACATATAGTGTACATATATTTATGCACAAAAAAATAAATAATTAACTTATTATATGAACTATTCAATTATATATTAATTGATCACCTTGAATCGGTATTGAGATTGAGATAGACTTTTAGTGAACCTAATTTCATACCACTAAGTTGGATACAATAATTAATATTAAATATTAAAATATTATAATTACTATTACAACACTATACTATTACATATAAGTGAAGTCATACTTTAATTGATGTTAGTTTGGTCACATGATTAAATTTTTTATTATCATTGATTCCAGAGTATAATAAAAAATTGTTTGAATTATCCATTGTGATTGAATTAATTAGAATTGGCTTAGAAAGAAGTAATTAGATTTTTTTTTTTTTTTTTAAAAGAATAATTCTAAGAGACTTGACACTAGTATAGTTGACCAAAAAAAAAAAAAAAAAAAGGTTCAAATTTGAGTGGTATGTTATCAACTTTGTTTTGAGTAAAAATTGTCACATGACAATTAATGGAGTAATTGTATATCTTAAAAAAATATAACAAGATAATTTTCAAATGATAATTATTTATTTATTAGAGCAATGGGATGTAGAAAGTGTTTTATTTAAGTATAGTATTTATTTTCACCCAAAAAAATTGATTTGCCCAGCTCAATTATTTTGGATTGCCGCCCAAAGATATTTTATCTCCCTCTCTCAATTCAAACACGAAATGGTCTGGGAAGTCTTTGTTAATGTGCTGCAATGGGTAAAAGGACGCAGACGAAGAATAGAAAGATGGTCAAATAGTCGCCCACTTGATCGGTCTTTCTTTACTTTTTCCAACCCAAGCCCTAACATTCTCTCACCTTATTCAGCGTAGATACTGAGAATCGAAGTGAATGGAGTGTCCATTTCTCTGCGAATAATCACAAAAAATGCCGAATTTCCATGTCCTTACATTCGAATCCATCTTTTCCTCTTTCAATTGGTGTAGATTTCACTCCATTGGGTAACAAATTTGAATCCACAGCTTGTTATACCATTCTATAATATCGATTGGTTTTGTTCGAATTCTGGTTGCGAGTGGTGACATGAAGATCGAAGAGTTGGACGATGATGTAAAATACGATCAAGATCGTGTTGGTGGAGGAGGACAGATTGTTCAGGTCGATGCGAAGAGAGCATTAGTTGGAGCGGGGGCTCGGATCCTATTCTACCCGACCCTGTTGTACAATGTGTTCAGCAACAAGATTCAAGCCGAGCTTAGATGGTTGGACGAAGTTGAGCAGGTTTTCTTTCTGATTTTTCATATATATATATATGTATAGCATAGGCATTTCCATATTTATGCGTTTGTTCATTTCTTATTGCAGATTTTATAAAATTTATATGCTTTAGATTGTACACCTTTCTGAATAGCTTGTTACAATCTGATTGGTTTCTGAAATATGTAGGAATAGAAAATTTCAATTCGGATGCTTTGTCGTTTTGATGGGATTGTGTTTTAGATGTTTCCTTGGTCATTCCTAATTTTTCTTCTGGCATTGAGAAAATTGTAGGAACATAGAAGAAAATACTAAATAGAATGTTGACTATTTTGGATAGATTGTTTGATTTTTGAATTGTTCTTGACTTCCAGTTTGGATGTTGGGAAAATGTAATAAAAGGGAAGAAAATGGGATATTTGTTCATACGGTTGTTTTGATTAGAGAAACGAATTGAATTAGTAGGTTAGAGAAAATGGGATATTTGTTCATACGGTTCTAATTGAGGCATGTGCAAAGCTTCCATTTACATTGGAAAAAGCAATTAACAAGTAGGTATCTTATAAATTACTCCATAATTCATTTTTTTCTTCTTCAATTGGTTAGAGAAAGTCTCCTCTGAGCTCAATCAAATATATTTTGGAGCTGCAACCTTCCTTCCTAACTCTTCTTTGGATAAAACAACATCATGCAGAAAGTTAACACACACTCTCTCTGTCCTCCTCCTTTCCGATCATCTGAGAAAGGTCTCTAATTAAACTCTTAAATATTTATGTTTAATCTGATGGATATGGCAAGGTTAACATTCTTGCACACATCCTTGCTGCAACCTCAATGGGATTCATCTTCACCGGCGCTGCTATTCATTTTTACTGGAAAAAGTCTAAATTCTCGAAAGAAAACTATATTAGTCCGCGATTTGAGAGAACAGGCTCTTCTCATGAGGAAAACATGAAACTTTTTCTCATTATGTTGGTCAGTATATATATCTGCTTTACCACACACACACACACACACACACACATAGATATTAACCACTTGGTAACTGTTAAATGGTATATACATATATAATTCTCAAAATCTTAATTTTGTTTTATAAAATATTTAATTATTTGTTATATATATATATACTTTGTGTAGTTAGGCAAATAGGGTTTAAAGATGCAAGTGAGTGTCCCCAATTATGCAAGTTAGCTAATGAATATTTGAGGAAAACCAAAGACCGCGAAGAAAAAATGTATGAGTATTTTGCTAAGGAGAAAAATGCTGAGTCACTGTATGTCAAGTTGGTGGAGGAATTCCAAACCTGTATTCTCAGATATTTTGCATTTCGTTGGAGCAAAGCTTCTTATATGATCACCCAGGTGTATATATATATATATACATACACACACTTTGAATTTAATCCCAACTAATTAATTAATTATATTAATTTGTTGATAATTTATTTATTAATTTAATTGTCTACTTTCTTAGGTTGAAATTAATTGCAGGTTTTAAGTGTTGATTATGAGAAGAAAATTGTTTTGATTTGCATAAACGAATTGAATTAGGAAGTTTTCTCATGTTGTTCAGCTTTTGTGAGGGTTAATTACTAGGCATACTAGGTTGGGTGAAGAACTTTGGAGGACGGGTTTCAAGCATGTGCATTTCTTCTTTGTTAATGATTTTGTCTTAATTTCTCCATTGTCCTCTTGAAGTTTCAAAAGCTTAGTAGTTTTTTTTTCTTCTTTTCATGAGTTTGATATAGATACTTCTTTCTTAGAAGAGTGTCCTTTTTCATGTGTTTAATAGCCTTTTTTTTTGCCTTAATTAATTTCAACTCCTATGTAAAGTGTAGATTATTTGCAGTTGTCCAAAAAATGGGTCATATTTCTTGTTCAGTTTGAGGCTTTGAGAATGACTTTACCCCATCTTTATGTTTGTTTCTCATGAAAAGAGGTCTTATTTATATTCCCCCAATTTTCTTCTACTTCCTTCATTTTTTATTTTTTATTTTATTTTTGCGTTAATGTTCTGGTCGGCTAATTATTTCTAATAATTTGTCATCTAGAGACATGCGGGAAGCTTGTTAGAAGACTTTACACAAAGGTAGATCAGCACGCTAGCAGTGAGTGGAAACTTTTTGGTTGCTGGAGGCTTAAGCTTTCAAGGAGAACTTACTTGTAAGGTGAGTTGATATATGTGCCATTGTCTATCTCTTCTTATTTTTGTTTCTTTGAGGGTGAGGTGGGAGAAGAAAAGTAGGAGAAGATTTGTGAAATGCAGCAATTCAAGGTCATTAGTTGATCTTAGTGGGCAAAAACCTCCATGGAAATATAAAGACAGAAAAATAAAGAAATATAGGAAGAATTAGTATCTACTTAAGTATTTGATTTTATTAATTTGGTTCTCTCAAACTCTACCAACATTTTTTCATTTCTCTCTTAGAAAAGTATTCAGAATCCTAAATGAATTTTGTAGCAGCATAACTTTTTTGTAGATTTTTTTTTTTTTTTTTTTTTTTTTTTTTTTGACATAGGTACTAATTGTATTTATTCATTGTTTGTTTTGCAGATTTTTGGATGGGCTCATGCAATAAGACTTCAAGCTCTTTTTGTTTAAAATAGTTTAAATAGTGTATGTCCAAGTCTTTGAACCATTTGTTTAGGAATCTATATCTCATTTTTGTCTAGGATCTTGAAACATTTTATTTAAGATACTAGCTTGTTTTGATCCAAATTATTGGAGTTAAAATTGTTTTAGATGCTAAGACTCATTTTTTTACACGATGGGCTTTATTATGTGTTGTAAACAATACATTTTTTGGTTGGTGTAACTTATACAATATCAAGTATTTATTTGTTTGCATAATCGTGTTGATGTGATAATTTATTTTTTTTTATTATTATTTTTTTTTATAATGTTTCTTTTGTTTATAATGTTAATAATTTATAGGTTTGCCACAAATTCTTATCGTGTCACGATAAATATGTGGCTTATTTTTGGTATTTGCCACAATATATATTTTTGGTTATTAAATTAAATTTTATTTTATTAATAATAGAATAGCCACGGATAAACTCCATGGCCTATTTTGAATAGTTGCCACGAGATGTATTCGTGGGCAATTAGATTTATAGCCACGAATGAACTCTGTGGCCTTTTTGGATATTTGTCACGACATAGATTCGTGGGCAATTAGATTTATAGCCATGAATGAACTCCGTGGGAAAAAGGTTAAATTAGTCACGATACATATTTTCATTGCAAAAGTATTGAATTAGCCACGATTAATTCCTATATCGAGATTGCTAATTGCTACGAAAGTATTGTTATTTAGCTACGAAATAGCTTGTGGGAATAGGAGGTATTTTACCACGAGTTCAAATTTTATGGCAAAAGTTTCACATTTTGCCACGAAAATTTTTATTCGTGGTTATTTGCAATTTGTGACGGAGCTACGTCCACGACTGAGCCACGAGCTATTTCTTGTGGCTAAAAGGCTTTTGCCACGAAATTTGAAGGTTATTGCCACGAAGTGTCTTGTGGTAAAAGGCTTTCGCCACGAAATTTGAAGGTTTTTGCCACGATGTGTCTTGTGGCAAGAACCCTAATTTGTTGTAGTGTGATTTTGTAAATAACTTTCGTAATGAGATAGAACCAACTATCTTTAACCATTTGTTGTACTATAAAGCCTATCGTCAAGTTAACCCAAGCTACAATCCTGGGTTTAGACTCTACGACCATAATATCAATTACATGGAAATTTTTGTCAAAGTAAGAATTCCTCATATCATTAAGTCTCCTCTAGAGATTGAGATATCTCCAGAAGATAAAGAAATAATAAATGAAGAAAAGATGTTGTTGGAACAATTTGATCTTGGCTACAGAAATGAAGAAAGTAGATCACCAGACAGCACTGATGCTTATTTGGTCTGCAAGCACGAAAAAGAAAGAAATGACAGTCCAACAGATAGCACTATTGACAGAAATTTGTCCAATATGCAAGATTTTTAGAGAAAAAACAAATTCGCCATAGTGTACAGATAAAAGCAGCTTCAGTATCGAAGAAAAAGTAGAATTTTAACAATGTACAGATAAAAACAGATCTACCAAAAGTAGATTCTCAACAGTAAAGGTTAATAAGACTCTCCAAAAGTCGACGTCAATAGTTCAGCAATAATTCAAGCCATCTTATCTCTAAAGCATCTTGAATCTCCACCGTCCATGCAATATCTTCAATCTCAGCCAAAGATTCATCTCCCTCATTTCCTATAAAGGGAGTCTCTCTGCTCAAGCAATGATCATCGAGTTTTAGAGCAATCAAGCCAAAAGCCCTCAAGCATTCCAACTTTTAGTTCCCAGTGTGTTTTCTTTATTTCAGAGTGTTTTCTTTCTGTAACATATTATGTGAGAGTGAATCCATGTATAAACAGTGTGTATCCATGTATATATTTCTTATAAAATAAATCATCCAGTTTGCTTTTATTCCAAAAAATTTCTTATCCTTATTTAGTATTCTAAGTACTTTCGGTAAAAGATTTCAGTCGACAAAAAGATCAAATATATAGATTTTATTTAGCCAGACAGTGTTGATCCTAGAATTTTCTTGAATCCAATCAGTACAAGCAGCCTTAGTTTTAAGTTAACAATTTTTTCTATAAGTTGACTCGAATTATTGGCTTGTTAGCCCGTCTTTGCCAGTGTTCAGGCGTTTCTATAGGGCGTTATCAGAGTGTTATTAGATTCGTCAGTCATTTCTGTGATTTAATTGTTATTTTATCTTTATGATTTTTGCATGCTTCTATCTAGTTAGGTTCAACTTAATTTTAGTATCAGAGCCTATACTGTTTTGTTAAATTTAATTTATATATAAGATCTTTTGTCCAAAGAAGTCTCTAAGTCCATATTAATCTACTGTGAACTTTTAATTTCATATTAAATAGTTGTTCAAGTATCTTTTGCAAATTTATTTTAAACTCTAAGGTTTTTTTTCGAAAGTATAAACTCTAAGGTTGTTATAACATAAAAAGTATTGTTGTGGGTCTTTACTAATAATATAGCTTGTTGTGTGGTATAAATCATAAAGTGAAGTCCATTTTAGAGAAATATTTTGGTGGTCCATCCAATTATTGAAACTTCAAGACCTTATTCCCATTACATTGTAGTATTTGGGCTTTAAGCCCATGTATTGGTAAAAATCCCAAAAATATTTGAGTGCGCTTGACTTTTCAATTTAGACACATTTATACAAAGTTCAACACTTGAAATTAGATTAATTATATATGTAAAATTTCAACTAAGTGCATTAATTTGAACGGCTTAAAAAGTACAATTTTATCTTAAAACACTAGTTTTTTTCTAGTAATGACGCAGAGTCTAACCGTCTGATAAATCCACATGATTTTATGTGATTTATCACATGAAGTGTGATTTATTGTATGTCAAACTACTCCATAATGCAACTGTGGTCTCCTCACAGATCCGAACTTTTTTCAGACAAAAATATACTCCATTATTATATCCTTGTATTTTTGATCTCATACATAAGAGTGAAAGTAAGAAGTTTGGTCAAGCAAGAACCTAAACAATAATGAGCTTTAACCCATTATCAAAATCCAATTGGCTAAATGCATTCATAATATTGGATTATCCATTTCTATTAGAAGGGGGCTTTATTTTATTAATTAGTTTCAACTTTCAATTGATCATGTGTGTTGTGTATGTGTGTCTTTCTTTCATTTGCTTTTCCAACAAAAGGTGTATATGTATATATAACAAAGCAGCAATTAGGAGGAGAATAACAAAAATGAAAGGGCCAAATCTAAGTATTTGAAAATGTTTATAAACCATGTAAAATAAAGTACAAATATTGTAATTGATACATTACAACCCTCATTATATAAACATCAATTAAAAATAAACTATTACAAACTTTTTAACCAAACATATGTATAAGCTGATCAAACTTGGAATTGCTTTTCGACAAAAAAATAAAAAAAACTTGGAATTGCCTGACTTATCAAAGAAAAATAAAAAAAATCTTGGAATTGCCCTAGCTGAAACAACATGGATTGCAATGACAAACACATCATCCCAAATACAACCTTATACAACAAACTTAGGGACTCTCCATAGACAACCAACTTTTGAAAAGGTGTATATATAGCAAAGGATGAGAAATTTAACATCAAAAAGATAATTAAAGCCACCCGCCTCTTTCCTTTTATGAGGTTGGCCTGAAACCCATAGGAGTCTTCTAACACAGACACCGCGATAGCCAACTGCCAAATAATGATCATATACAAAGCCCCTAAACCATATATGATCAGTATAATGGAGAAAATCACCAGAGTGGTATTAAGACTAATACTAACACTAGTAGTACCAGCTGTGTGTGCCCATAAGAATGCACATACGATTATGATTATTGCGAAAACTAGGGTATAAGCAAAGAAAGCCAAGAACGTGGACAAGAAAGTGAGCACGAGTCTCTTCCAAACCTTTGGGACGACACTCATGACCTTCTTGAAGGTCACTTCGCGAGCCGTGTAAATGCATGCAATGGTGTAAACTACAGCAGAAGTGGAGAGATGAGACAAGATGAAGAGTGAGATGGTACATGCAAGTTGGAAGAGCCAATAGGTGGTCCTTTCGGATGGTATGAGATTGGAGAGCTTGTTGTACCTCTGCGTGCCGGCTTGTGCGTCTATTAATTCGGCTTCGTTGTGTATGATCCTAGATTTGAGTAATTCGGAGACTTTGATGTGAGCTAGGAGGATGAAGGAGAGTGGGAGGATCAAAGCTAGAGTGATTTTGGTAAAGATCTTCCTCCATGAGATGATGATCTTGTAGGCTTCTCTGCAGATGCCAAAAGGGCCTAGGAATTGCATTTCTTCTTGTTCTCTGTCCATGCTTTTTTTGTTTTCCTTCAATGGATGAGAGTTGGGGAGGTGAAGGCTGAAGAGGGGAAGATTAAATATGGAGATGGAGGACTTGGATGATTGGTTTTTAGGAAGGAGCATAGGAGATAAGGTTGGATTTTTATATATCAAATTGCCCTTTACTGTACCTTTAATAACGGAAATGAGTTTGTATTATATATATTTCATATGTTAGTCGCACTAATTATCTTTGGAGAAGAGAAGGGCAAAATGGTAGATTGGTCTGAACATGGAAGGTTTAATTGGAAGAGTACCATTAGTTTTTGAGTCAACAACGCACAGCCATCTCCTATGAATGGTCTCAATATTTAACGGCCTTGATTTAATGAGAGTGATTGGTCCCATTTTCATGAACGAAAAGAAATGGCAAGATAATTGCTGAAACCTTATTATACTTGACAAAGCAATAATATGGAATTGAAAATGATTGAGGGTTACACAGTTTGTTCAGGTGATCAATGACATCATCTTTCCATCACATAAATACAAATTGATTGACTCTAGGGTACGATATTCGATTATGAAAAATAATTTTTGAAAGATTAAATATTAGATAAATTGACATGTAATAAAAAAAAGGGATTATTACATATAAATGAGGTTAGGGTACCATATTTACCTAGAGGCTGAGTCAAAGTTCCATAGTTTTCTTAAAATGAGTTTGACTAAATTGCTGAGGTGGCACATGGAGTTTTACTGTTTAAAAATTGTGTTACCTAAAATGCCCTTCCCCTTTTTTCTGTGTTGCCTAAAATACCCTTAAGGTGATCAAGCGCCCTTTTTAGCTTTACCTTTCGCATATCTCTGCCCTAGTTTCAAACCCCAAATAAATCACTCTTCTTCTCCCTCCGAATTTTTCATCTGTCCTCACCGATTCTTCTCTTTCCCCACAACTCTCTAAACCCAACCTCCACTCCTAATTCCTTTGTCCATCCCTCATGGTTTGTTCTCATCTTCCACGGTGTCGTGGCTGTGATTTCTTGCGCCATGGTTCTGGGTTGCTTTTCTTTATCGAGTTTGGGTCGCCGAGTTTGTGAATCGCCCTGTTCTCCAGCAATTCCGGCTGGTTCTTCTCCGGCGATTGCTGTTGGGTTACGGGTTCTTTCCGGTGAGCTTTTGAATCGCCGGTTTCTCCAGCGATTCTGGCTGGGTTCCTTTCGGCAAGTTTCTGAATCGCCGTTCTTTCTGACGATTTGGGTTCTTTGCGTCTCTGTTCTCCAACGATTTCGCTACGTCGTTTTTCTTCGGCGAGCTTGTGAGTCGCGGCTGGGTTCTTCTCTAATCGCGGCAGGGTCATTCCGGCGAGCTTGTGGGTTGCCATTCTCTGGTGATTTTTGACCGTTTTCTTCCAGCGAGCTTGTTGGCTGGCTGTTCTTTGCTTCATTATCTCGCCGGCGATTTCGGCTGGCTCTTCTCCAACGAGTTGTGGGTAAGTGCGGATTTTGATAATAAACAAATAATAATAATAATAATAAATAAAATTTTTAAAAAAAAATAAATAATAATTGAAGCAATTAAAAAAAAAAATTTGGTTAAGTACTGATTTTGCAGCAAATAAAAAAAAAAATTTGAAGCAATTAAATTTTTTTCGGGTAAGTGTTGAGTGTATGGTGGTTGTTGGCAGTGGTTTGAATGGTTGAATTGTTGATTGGGTACTCTTTTGCATGTGAATTGCGTAGTTGATTGGGTTCCCTTTGCAATATACATTGATGATAAATAAATAAATAAATAAATAAAAAACATGAAAAAATTTCACAGTGGCCAAATTGGGTGTTGGCACATAGTGAAATTTCTGAAAGGATTTGTAGGTAGAGATGAGCGAATGTCTCCAAACCTTAATTAATTAACAAATCTATTTGCCCTAATTTCAATTTCAATATTTGATTTTCAATTGTATCCAAACATCTTATTTTTTTATATTTCCATTAAAATGGTATCTCTCTTTGATTTTGGATCATGTGTGTGATAATGAAATTATGTGTTGATTTGTAAGGTTACTTTCAAATTTGGACAAAAATAAAATGAAATGCTCTATAGTTTGCTGATGTAATGAGCTTAAAAATTTAAAATTATATGTTTTGAATATATATCTATATCAGTCCATGGCAACTACTGCTTAATGGTAAATAAGCCGTGAAACTACTTTGATCATATGGAGCTTATTAGTTGCATCATGATTCCTACTCATACTGCGTGGACTCATCACCTAAGAAGTCTTTACTCATGCTTGCTGGTACATTTGCTTTCCTTTGTTATGTTATTTATAATTTTCCTAAAGGCAACTTAGTGATAGAATGGAATTAACATGGTGAAAAACTGAAAAAAATAATATTAAATAATATTAGTTCTTGTTGTCTTCTTTGTTTTCTGTGTGTCATCACACTCTAAAGCCTGCATATCTGTAGCAGAATATGTGTTGTGACTTTGCTTTCCTTTGTTACTATCTCAATCCATGTTAAGTTTTATCTTGTCCTTCCCTTTGCATTGTCTTCAATATGGACCATGTCACTTTTGTCGCGTATGTAGTTATTGTTTTTTTTTCTAGTTGCATATGTAGTTATTGGTAGCCAACTTAATCATTTTTTTAAATTTTATTTTATCTTATTCCCAATGTGTGTTGCTTCATCTATCTCAACTCTCATGAATGCATTGCCAGGAAAGAAAAACCATCTGAAAATTGTATTTATTCCTAATTTTATTCTTTCTTGTGTTAGCATGCATTTTCTCAATATTTGCATTTCCCCACACTCCATCTATGAACATGTTTGTTAATCACCCCTCATTCCATCCTATAAATTATGTATGGCTTATATAATAATTTTTTTAGTTTTAAAGGTATACGTCAACTGCACATAAAAAAACACTTCCCTACTTAATGTAACTTGTTTTAAATTCTGTAAGGAATGTCATCTTCAATTTGTCCTTCTGTATGAATAATAAAGCCTAGGTAATGAAATTATTCGCATTTTAGTATCTAATAATTTTCAAATTTTGCTTTATCTTCATTTGTATTCCTAGTTTAAGTAAATTTACATTACAAATATTTAGTTCTATTTTCTAGAATTTATTTCAATACCTATAATTAGATTGTCCCTACATTAGTTCCATTAATCAAAATAATAGCACCAGTACATGGTATGTACTAAGTAATTTCAACTTAATGTATATTTTCAGTTCATACATAACTAAGACAAAAGATAACGTCTCCATGCTGATCCATGATGTAAAGTTATAGTAATTAGAAAGTCACTTGTTTTCCCCCCAAATTTTCTCATTATTGTCACAGTTCCATTATATGTGTCTTTTATATGTTACTATGTGCTATTTATTACTTCTTCCCTTTTCTAAGATACATCATGTTACATTTCTTAAGACTCTGTCACAGACTTCCAAGAAATTTTTTAAAATCATAGAAAAAACTTTCTTATTCTAGCTAAAGCTTTCTATTAGTCTTTCCACTTGCTAAACCATTTCCATTGTTGACTTTCTTAGCATAAAGCCATATCTGATTAGCACATCACTCACTCTCTAATCACTTCCAATATTTTTGACAACTACCTATACCACCAGAATATCACTTCTCCATTTCTGGTTGAATCCCCATCACTATGGCCACCATCCACCATCCTAATTGTCTGCTAGCAACTCCACTAAAACTCACCACTTTGACATCTGTAGATAACCATCAGTTCATCACAATCAACCTTACTGAAACCTAATTGCATAACTGTCATTGTCTATCCCATATTCACACCATGACAATCAAATTCACTTCCATAACCCCCCCCCCCCACCTCCATTACCACCTCTCTCTAAATTTTTTTTTTCCCCCCTTTCTCCAAAATTTCCATTTTCGTTTTCTAAGTTCTCTAAAACTGTTATTCTCTTCCTATTGAGATATTCTCTACACTCTTTTATTCTCTCTCTAAATTATCAGCAATTATGTCAAAGTACGGCTATCCTCGTATTCTATCTTTAAAAGTCAGTACCTTCCACTGAAATTTATTGTGATACTTCGTTCTTTTTAGAATATTTGTTTCTCTAAAATTCTACCAACTCCCTCCAAATCTTTTGGCAACTTTTTCTCACTTTAACATTTTATTACGATCTCGGTAAAATTACAAAAATTCTCTTGATTCTTCCTAAATTTCTTAGGATAGCTCTTACTTTTTCAGGATCAGCTTGCAAACCATCGGCTGATCTGATAAAGCCAAGAAACACAACTTTGTTGCACAGAAAGAGCATTTTTTCAAGTTTACTTAAAGCTTCTCCTTACGGAGAACCTCCATGACTTGGTGCAAATGGACTAAATGTTCTTTACTTGTATGATTATATATTAATATGTCATCAAAATTTAACCACAAATGAGCCCAAGAAAGGTTTGAGTACCTCGGTCATAACTCGTATAAATATGGTAGGAGCATTAGATAGTCCGAATACCCAGATTTTCTTCGAACAGGGGGCTGTTGTCCCATTTTACAATCTAGCACCACTTTGGTTATTTGGTATCATATTTTCAATGTCATGTATTTATTGTAATCCAAAATCAGTAAATTATTGGTCCCATTGACTCTTTCAAATGGAGTAGCATATTCTACTGGATCATTTAAATGGATGATTTTTTATCACTCATTGTTGTAGGGCAAGCTTAGTAAGAATATGTTTTTGTAGTGGACATGCTTGATAGCTTAGTGAGAGCAAGAGATTTGGTGGCATTAAAATTTTAAAAGGATAGATTGGATAAGCCTTTTAATGTTGAAAATTCCTGAAAATTGAAATGAACAATTTTTGTTGCTAGTATTTGTTTTCTAAACTAATATGTGTATAATGTTTTAACCCTAGACTCAGGTATTTCTAACATTCTTTACCACCCATGGATAATATGGTCTCATTCTTACTTAAGCTATATTCCTAGTCTTACCCTTAATGTTTCTTACAAACCTCATTTCAGCTATGGTGAAACTATGAAC